CTGGGCCCAATCCGTGGTGGCGCAAGTAGCAGCCTTGAAATGTCACAACGCCGTCGCGTCGCGTTTAAAGGCAGCGCGGCACCACCCACCTTTGATCAGAGGTGGTGGCGAAAGCGGCACCGCGGTCGGCTCTTTTGGCGATTGTCCCTTTGGCCTCCCTTGGAGGGCTCGCCCACCTCCTTGTGGTGTCTGGAGTTGCGTGCAAATCTACTGCAAAAAACTTTTTCCTCCTCTCTTCCTCCCCCCCTTTTCCTCCTCCTCCTCCTCCTTCTCCTCCTCCTCCTCTTCCTCCTCCTCCTCCGCCTCCTCCTCCTCCTCCACCTCCTCCTCCTCCCTCTCCTCCTCCTCCTCCTCGTCCTCCGGCCCCTCCTCCTCCTCCTCCTCCTCCTCCTCCTCCTCCTCCTATCTCAGAGCTGTGCCCCATTTGAGGATTGTACTCTCATGCCAGTAAGCCCTAGTTTTTTATTCTCCATATCCTAAGATGGGGTTATTAGTATTACTTGGACGCCTCCTACTGCCTCTTCCGCCTCTTCTTTCCTCCTCCCCTCCTCATACTCAGACTTACTCATACTCAGACTTACTCATACTCAGACCTACTCATACTCAGACTTACTCACACTCAGACATACTCATACACAGACTTACTCATACACATACTTACTCACACCCATACGTACTCATACACAGACTTACTCATACCATATTTACTCATATTACTGATACTCAGACTTACTCATACCCAGACGTACACACACAGACTTTCTCATACACAGACCTACTCATACCCAGATTTACTCATACACAGACTTACTCGTACACATACTTACTCATACTCAGGCATACAGAAGGCCTCAGGAAACCACAGGAGGCCCCAGGAGGCAACAGGAAACGCCAGGAGGCCTCGGAAGGCAACAGGAGGCCCCGAGAGGCCCCAGGAGCAGGAGGCCTCAGAAGGCAACAGGAGTGGCTCCAATCCCATGTGTTTTACGTATGCTCCTATCGATTGTGCCTCACCTGGAGCACGATTCTTTGATGTTCTACGTCTGTTTCTATAGATGGTCCTTCTCCTGTGAACACAATCCTAAATGTGTTACTCATGTTCCTATGTGTTGGGCCTCTCCTGGGGCACGAGTCCCTGGTGTTTTACGCATGTTCCTATAGATTGCTCTTCTCCTGTGGCTCTAATCCGCAATGTTTTATGTACGTCTGTTGCTATAGGTTGCGCCCCTCCTGAGGCACGAAACCTTCCTAGGAGGTCCCAGGAGGTCCCAAGAGGCCCCTGGAGACCCCAGGAAGCCCCAGTAGGTTTCAGGAGGCCCCAGGAGGCCCCAGGAGGCCCCAGGCTCATGCACAGAGACGCGCTCGCACTACTGAGGCTCATTCACGCTCCAATTCGTTCGCAGTTAGATCGATGTCCAGACCGTCACAACTGAAGCCCGCTAATATTAGAAAGCGCTTGCGCCTAGACATTCACGGCGGGCAGGCCCATGCGAGTAGATGCACGTGTGGGGAGCTCCACGCAGTGAATAATCAGTTTACCAAACGCCACAGTTTTTCTTCATCATTTCTATATTTAGCTCGTCAACCTCCTCCTACTCCTCCTCCTCCTCCTCCCCTTCTCCTCCTCCTCCTCTTCCCCCTCCTCCTCCCCCCTTCTCCCTCCTATCTCATCCCTCCTACCTCCTCCCTCCTCCCACCCCCTACGTTCTCCCACTCCCTCCCCCCCTCCGCGCGCAAAAAGCCATACTTATTTTCATCATTCTATTAGAAGCCATGTTTTTCATCATTCTTATACGCAGCTCCTCCTCCTCCTCCTCCTCCCCCCCTCCTCCTCCTCCTCCTCCTCCTCCTTCTCCTCCTCCTCCTCCTCCATTTCCTCCTCCTCCTCCTCCTCCTCCTCTTCCTCCTCCTCCTCCTCCTCCTTTTCCTCGGCTCATGCTCCTCGCAACCCATTCAACGAGCGACGCGTGAGCAATGGATTAGCCTCGGACTTCAAACCGAGGGGGGGGCTCCATTCCAGGTGCGTGGCGTCACCTGGGGCAGCGCTGAGCACTACCCACCAGGCCGTGTTCCCCCCCCCAAACGGGGGGAGACCACCGAAGCCACTCCCTGGGAGCCGAGGTATGTGGCGTCACCTGGGGCAGCGCACAGCACTACCCACCAGGCCGTGCCCCCCTCAAAAGAGGGGAGACCACCGACGCCACTCCCTCTTGATATGGCCCTCAAGCATGTGCCAAGCCAGAAAGACTGAGGACAGAAATCTGGCATCATTGCTGAGGACAAGTGACATCGTCTCTTGGCGGCGAAATGCCAGCTAAGCCTCGCGCGCCACTCTCAGAACGGACACTTCCACGACCCTCGTCGATCAGCTTCCGCCGCCGCACGAAAGGCCGTGGTCTGTGTCGTTCTGTCCCCTCCGAAATGAACTTGCTCCAATCCAGAAGCTCGCTCCCACGAGCTTGTATGAAATCCTCCTCGAGGTCCCGCTTGGCCCGCCGACGCACGAAAAGTCCAGGCCTCGCCGCGGGCGTCCTCCACGATATCAGTTCGTTTTCTCGGGCTCGGATGTAGTCTTGCTCCGCCTCGTCCCCAGACACCGCAGATCGTGAGCTAGGCCCACGACCAGCACGAGCAACATCAGCCTCTACTGGACACTACTAGTGGTACTACTGGACACTACTAGTGGTACTACTGGACACTACTAGTGGTACTACTGGACACTACTAGTGGTGCTACTGGACACTACTAGTGGTACTACTGGACACTACTAGTGGTACTACTGGACACTACTAGTGGTACTACTGGACACTACTAGTGGTACTACTGGACACTACTAGTGGTACTACTGGAAACTACTAGTGGTACTACTGGACACTACTAGTGGTACTACTGGACACTACTAGTGGTACAGTACACACCACTAGTAGTGTCCAGTAGTACCAGTGTCCAGTAGTACCACTAGTAGTGTCCAGTAGTACCAGTAGTAGTAGTAGCACCACTAGTAGTGTCCAGTAGTATCACTGGTAGTGTCCAGTAGTACCACTAGTAGTGTCCAGTAGTACCAGTAGTAGCGTCCAGTAGTACCACTAGTAGTGTCCAGTAGTACCACTAGTAGTGTCCAGTAGTACCACTAGTAGTGTCCAGTAGTACCACTAGTAGTGTCCAGTAGTACCACTAGTAGTGTCCAGTAGCACCACCAGTAGTGTCCAGTAGTACCACCAGTAGTGTTCAGTAGTACCACGAGGAGGGGAGGAGGATCAGAGGCGGAGGAGGAGGAACTGAGGAGGAGGAGGAGGAGGAAGACCTGGAGGACGAGGGCGAGGTCGAGGAGGAGCAGGAGGAGGGGGAGGAGGAGACCGACGACGGGGTGGGCTCCCGCAGGCACCCACGCCCGCAGCGACACCAGCACCGACGCCCGCGCCGACGAACAACTCCCACTCCGGCGCTGCAAAGGGGGGAGGGGGAGGAGGGGGAGGAGGAGGTGAAGGAGGAGAAGGAAGGAGGAGGAGGAGGAGACGACGCGACGACGACGATAACGACGACGGGGAGGAGGAGGAGGAGGCGAAGGAAGGAGGAGGAGGAGGAGGGAGGAGGAGGAGGAGGAGGAAGGGAGGGCGAGGAGGGAGGAGGAGGAGGAGGACGACGACGAGGAGGAGGACGAGGAGGAGGAGGAGGGGGGAACCAAAAGGAACCAAAAGGAACCAAAAGGGAACCAAAAGGAACCAAAAGGCACCAATATGGTTCAATATGGTTCCTTTTGGTTCCCTTTTGGTTCCCCCCTCCTCCTCCTCCTCGTCGTCCTCCCCCTCCTCCTCCTCCTCCTCCTCCTTCCCCTCCTCGTCCTCCTTACGGACGGTGAATGTGGTCACGCAGTCGTCGTCGTCGTCGTCGGCGGGGCTCTTTTGGCCCCGCCCCCGCAGGCGGCGAGGCCAGCGTCGAGGCCGGCGTCGGCCTGCTTTCGGCCCAGCTGTTGCCGATGCTCTGAGAGGTGAGCTGTCCGGTTGGGCGCGGATGTGGAGGAGGAGGAAGAGGAGGAGGACGAGGAGGAGGAGGGATCCAGGATCCACACGCTTTTTCCGTGTTGCGACCGTGGCCGGAGCGGGACTTGCGATCTGGAGTGTTGTCGGACAGCATGTCCGATGCCGCTGCCTTGAAAAAAAAACAGTATTGATTTGTGCCCATTTCTCCCGAGTCGATCGTCGCGACCAGCCCCATCCTTGCCCAACAGCAATCGCTGTCGGATAACGTTCCCCGCATTTCGGTCCTCACCGAGCGCGCGGGAGAAAGTTCGCGAGGGTGGAGTGCGTTGGAACCATGAGTAGGTTAGCTCCCGCCCAGAGGGGGAGGAGGGCGGGCAGGGGGAGGACCGAGGATACCTTTCCTGGGTTTCCTCCTCTTTCTCCTCTTCGTCGTCGTCGTCGTCCTCCTCCTCCTCCTCCTCCTCTCCCTCCCCCTCTTTTTGTCTTCTCACCTCTGACTTGCCCCTTGCGCAGGCCCTTGGAGAGTCCATCCGTCAGGAGGGTCCATGTAACCTAAATGGGGTCTGCGCCTGGTCTTCTCTCTGCCGCCCTGCTCCTGTCCTGATACGTCTGTTTGTGCATGGCAGGAGAGCAGACCTCCTCGCGCCTACACGGCATCTCGGATTAGCGTCCCGATTGGATGCAACACTCGGGCCAGACAGTACGTGGGCCTCGCGGTCTGCACTCGGGTCAGACAGTACAATGGCCTCGCGCGTCTCACTCGGGCCAGACAGTACGTGGGCATCGCGCGCCTCACTCGGGCCAGACAGTACCCATGGGCCTCGCGCGGCGAGCTCGGGCCAGACAGTACCCATGGGCCAGCGCCGCGCCAGCCGCCCCGTTCGGGCCCCCGCCCTGCCCGGAGGAGGGCCCCGTGCAGCCGCTTTGGTCCAAGATCCCTTTGCGATACGTCCAGCGACGCCAGCCAGAGCGCGACTGGCACCCCCGCCCCGCCCTGTTCGGAGGAGAGCCGCGGCCGCAATGGATGCTGAGTTGGAGAATATCAAGGCTACTCTCGTCGTTGATAAGAGTTCTCGGAAAGCGGCCAAGCGCGCCTTGAAGGCGCTTCAGGTGCAGGACCCCAACATTGATGCTGAGTCCGAGGAGAGCGTGCGCAAATAGCCAATGGCCTTTGGCGATGCTCGCCGCTGCTTCCGCTCGTTGCGAATCGTTTTCCCGCTGCAGCGATGGCCTCATTTCTGCGCTTCCGCTGGTTGCGAATCGTGCTCCCGCTGCAGCGCTGTCGCAATGTCCAACCCATGCCACAGCGCGCAATGCGCCGCTCAACGCGCGGGGGCGGATTTGGCGTTGAAGACGGCCCTCGCCTCTCGGAGCCCGCCTGAGCAGGTCACATGGGGCAAGTTCAGCGGGTGGGTGGACGAGGCCTTCGCGGAGGCGCCGTTCGAGGCCAAGTACTGGTGTGTGTTCAAAGCGACCAATCCTGATATACTCAACAACGCGAAGGTCACCTTGGTCTTCGTCGTCGTCGTCGCCCTTTTCCTCCTCCTCCTTCCCCTCCCCCTCTGCCTCCTCGTGGTTCCCGTCGCCGCCATCGTCCCCGTCAGGTGAAGAAGTTCGGCCAGGTCAACATTGCCACCATCGGGGGGAACCTCCCAGCAGGGATCAGCGCCGACGACGTGTGGCTCTTTGACCCCAAATGCCTTCACGTCTTCAGCGTCGGAACCCATAAGATCAAAATCCGCGCGGGCGCAAGGAGCTCCTGCCCGGCGGCGTCAGGGGGAGCCCGCCCGCGGTTGGCGCTGCCGGCGCAGTCGGCGGCCCCCGCGGCGCTGCCGGAACCGCAGGAGCAGTCGAAGGAGCAGCCAGCGCCACAGGAGCACGTGAAGGAGGAGCCGAAAGCCCAGCCAGCCAACCCCGCCATGCCCAAGAACCGGGCCATCACCTCCGTGCCGTCAGACCCCGACAAGCGGCATTGGTCCGAGAGGCTCGGCCATCAGGTGGTGGAGTCCGTGTCGAAGGGACAATGGTATTGCAGCGATCCTGTGGTGCCCGGTAACGTCATGCATTGCCTCAGGGAGTACAAGAGGCACGTCTTGAATCTGGCTCCGAGTAGGACGGAATGGCCTCAACATGTTACGCGGTTCTTCTCTTACGTTTGCAACGAGATCTGCAAGACCACGCACTTGGATATCTTGAGCGTTCTTGTGGGCGAGCTCCGCAGCATCCACCAGAAGGCGCCGACCTTGCTCGACGACGGCGCCCAGGCGATTCGTTGGCAACTGGGTGGTATGTTTTCGACCAGGAGAAGGAAAAGAAGGAGGAGGAGGAGGAGGAGCAGGAGGAGGACGAGGATACCAAGAGACCCGACGTAGTACCCGAAGATAGCCCCAAGAGGGTACCAAGAGAGATCCGAAAGCCCCGAGAAAAACTCCAGGATGGCTCCAATGTTGCCACGAACGGCCTCCGGGAAACTGCAAGAGAAATCCACTTTTCCTCTGCTCGCCCTCCTCCCTCCTATCCCACCAGCCCTTTGAGCGTGAGTGGTTTAGAGAGCTCTCTCTGTTCTCACCCCCCCTTCTTCCCCTTCGGGGAGGGGTTTACCCCTCCCCCTACCCCCTCCCCCTGGGCCTGGAGAGGTCCTTTCGCGGGTCGTCAGGGGGGTCATTTTCGACTCCTGCTAAAAAACGACACCCCTCACGAGGATTCTGGCCCCGACGGGGGGGGGCAGAAAAAATGCCCCCTCTTCTTTGAAGCCAAAATCATTGATTTTACTACGGTTTTGGCCTCATTTTGGCCTTCTGAGGGGGCAGCGCTAATTAAAGCTCCCCTCTTCTTTCAAGCCAAAATCATTGATTTTACTAAGGTTTTGGCCCCATGTTGGCCTTCTGAGGGGGCAACGCTAATGAAAGCTCCCCTCTTCTTTGATCGATTTCCTCCAAGATGGCCCCAAGAAGCGCCCAGGAGGCACCAAGAGGCCCCAAGATGGCCCCAAGAGGCCCCCAGGAGGCCCCCAAGAGGATCCCAAACGGCCCAAAGAGGCCCCCCCGAGGCACCCAAGACGCCGAAAAGCCCATCAGGACGACCCTCTACTCGCCTGGGCGTCGTTTCTGGACGGGCAGGAGGAGGGGCCCGAACGACTCACACCAGGACGAGGGGCCCGAACAACTCACACCACGAGAAGCCCGAACGACTCACACCAGGACGAAGAGCCCGAACGACTCACACCACGAAGAGCCCGAACGACTCACACCAGGAAGAAGGGCCCGAACGACTCACACCAGGACGAGAAGCCCGAACGACTCAAACCACGAGGAGCGCTTTCTCTCCCTCCTCCTCCGCCTCGTCCTTCTCCCGCTCCCACCACAAGGAGGATGTACAAGGAGGCGGGAGGAAGGAGGAACAGGGGAGATATGCGGGGGCAGGTGGAAACACGCCTGAAAAACACGACTGCCGGCATGTTTCGCTAGAGTTGCTGTTTTGAGATGGGCTGGTGGGGATACGCGAAGCGTGAAGAATCCACTCTTCCTCTGCTCGCCCTCCTCCCTCCTATTTCTGATCCTCCCTCCTCCTCCCCCTCCTCTGCCTCCTCCTCCTCCTCCTCGTGTCCTCCTCCTCCCTCCGTCCCCCTCCTGCCGGCTATCCACTCGCTTTTCCCCCGCGCGCTCCTCAGCTCATGCCTGATTCTGCTTTGCAACCGAATCGCTCTCTCGCAAAAAAGAAAAGGGACACGGGGAACCACGGAGGGGGGGACGGAACGGGAGGATGAGGGTTTTTGTTGTCTGCTGCGCGAGCTCGCAGTTAGCGCACGTGCCCAAGTACAATGAATGCGCGAGGACGTCGAGCTCGCGGCAAGCCGCCAGCGGCGCCAGACGCCCCGAAGAAGCCGTGACCGAAGCCGAGTGCCACAGAGAGCGCAGACCCTGGGCGCAATGACATTAGAGGAGGGTGGGACGCATCGAAACGACCAGAAAGGAAGTGGCGCACCGAGCCACCGCGCGCAGGCACCCGAACAATAGCTAAAAGCGCAAAGGCCGACGAACGCCAAAGCGAGCAACTTGCAAGGGTGGACCGTTGAACGAAAATTGGCAGGAGGACGGAAAAGGAACCAAAGGGAACCAATTCTTTAAAAAAAGGTTGAGTATATCGCCTCGTAACAACCTCCCATGAACGGCTACACAAGTGCAGAGGGGCAGCCACTACGCCCCCAAGAGGCCCCAATAGGTCTACAAGAAACTCTCCAGAAACATCCGTAGAGACTCCGAGCAGCATCCAAGAGGCCTCTCGCCTTTCTGCTCGCCTTCCTCCTCCTCCTCCTCATCCACCGAATCGTCCTCCTGCCTCCTCCCTCCTCCCTCCTCCCTTCTCTCTCCTCCCTCCTCCCTCCTCCCTCCTCCCCCTCCCCTCCCTCTCCTCCTCCTTCTCCACCTCCTCCTTCTCCTCCTCCTCCTTCTCCTGTGGCTCATCCTCCGTCCTCCCCCTCTTGGGGTATGACAGCTTCCCAGCCTTCGTTCCACTGCGTGCTCTCCCACATGCCTGATCAGGGCAGATCGCCTGGGCATCGTTTCTGGATGAGCTGGTGGGGCTTACGTTAAGCGTCTGGAGTTCATCTTCCTGGTAACATTGGTACTACTGGGTCGGGACCACCCTGAAAAAATGAGACTTGGACCAATTAACTGGAATCCGTCCCATTTCCGGGCGCTATCCCCCCCCCGACTCCAACCTCTCTGGAGTGGCTCGGGCGAGCCTGGGGCCACTTTGGCACTCTCTGGACCACCTGTGCTCGCGAGAGCCTCTCGGGGCCAACCCCAGCGCGGCGCTCAAGGGGAAGGAGGAGGAGGAGGAGGAGGAGGAGGAGGAGGAGGAGGAGGAGGAGGAGGAGGAGGAGGAGGAGGAGGAGGGGGAGGAGGAGGGGAGGAGGAGGAGGAGGAGGAGGAGGAGGAGAGGAGGAGGAGGAGGAGGGGGAGGGGAGGAGGGGAGAAGGAGGAGGAGGAGGAGCAGGAGGAGGAGGAGGAGGAACAGGGGAGGAGTGCTCGGGGAAAAATAACGGAGAGTCTCACGGGCAGTCTTGGAGACCCGGGGGGGAGGCCCACGGGGCCAGCGTCGGCGGCATCCCTGACGCCTCCGTGCAGGCATGCGCGCCGCCTCGGTCGCAGGAGCGTCCACGATTGCGCGAGCAACTCTCAAGACTTCAGCACGAACGGATTGGGTACGGAAAGAATGGGTACGATGCCCAACAACAATTTCAATTCATTTCGAATAGGACTCGCTGTCCGCGCCGCCGCGGCCTGTGTCCATTTGAGACAGAAGGCCGCCTGCCCAACAGCGCCCGCTGTTGGTTTGGGGCAACATTCGTTGTTGGGCATTGTACCCATTTTTTCTGTGCCCATGTCGGGCGTCCAAAAATGAAGGGGAACTGGGACACACAAATAAATACACACAAATAAACATATCCCCCATGTTTTCCTACATGTTCTGGGTTTTTGTCTTCCCCCCACTTCCCATATTTTGCCATATTTGTTGGGAATCGCATATTAATTGTGTCTGTGTGTTTCTTTCCCTCCTGAAAAAAAGACTGGCCCAAGATGGCCCGAAAGGCCTCCACGACGGCCGCATGGGGAGGCACAAAATGCGGGCCGCCGTCGCACCCGCTGGAAGCGGGAGCCTCCAGAAGGAACCCAAGGCCGTGCCGAGAGGCCCACGAGAGCCCCCAAGAGGCTCCAAGACGCACGCGGGTGGGCCACACTGCCCCAAACAGCCCCGAAATGCCCCCAAGGCCTCTCCAGCAGGACCCAGGCGCAATGGCGGAATGGGCCAAGAGACCATTGGACTTTCGCCCCGCAACCCCCAAGCATGCACCCAAGGCCTCTCGAACACAACCCAGGCGCAGTGGCAGCATGGCCCAATAGACCATCAGGCTTTCGCCATCGCACCAGAGCCGCCACTGCCCCTTGCCCTCGTCCCACACTCACCGCCTGCGCCCAAGCTGTTCGCTTCTCAAAGTCGGCAGCACCGGCCGTAAAGCCTTCGCAATCAATCGCCTCGCCCTTCTTGTCTCTCTCCCTCACCTCCTGCTCCTCATCAGCCTCATTCCTCTTCCATCCCCCGTCTCCTCCGCTCTCTTACTCACTCACACTGGGCCCTTCCTGTCGTTCTCCCTCACCTCCTGCTCCTCATCCGCCTCATTCTTCTTCCATTCCCTGTCTCCTCCGCTCTCTCACGTACGTGCTCACGCCGGGCCCTGGGCAGAAACATGGCAAGCAAGCAAGCAAGCAAGAAGGCCATGCATCCTGAAGGACGCGTGGGCGGTTCCTGCCGTGATTCGCTGCGACAGACAATCGGCGCCAGCGCGGATTGGACTAAACAGCCCGAGAGGAGGAGGAGGAGGAGGAGGAGGAGGAGGAGGAGGAGGAGGAGGAGGAGGAGGAGGAGGGAGGAGGAGGAGGAGGGGGAAGAGGGGGAGGACCTGCATGCAATGAAAACTGATGGAATCTCATTCGGCCCTGTTGCCACACGTGGGGCCAGGAAGGCAGCTCACACCCTGCGCTCTGGCACGGCACGCTCTGCCTGCGTGGGGGCCGCCTCCCGGGCGGCAGGCGGGGCCGGGGCAGACGCCCTGGGGGCAGCTCTCTATGCTCACGCAGCCCCCGCTCCTGGCCCTGCCTGCCACTCCTCGCCATCGCTCGGCCGTCCATTCCCTGTGCTTTTTTCGGGTTTCGTGCGTGGCTTCTTCGCCAAACGGTCAAGGATGCTCCTCGATGGTCCTCGCCGAAGGGAAAATAAAAAATGCACACGTCCGAGCGATGCCAAGGCTCCCTTTTTGTTCGCCCTCCCCTTCTTCTTCTTCTTCTTCTACTCGTCGGGGGCGTCCAGGAGGGGGGCTCGCAAATTATGGCCCGAGGCATGTGCGCGGACTAGGGGGGGGGGACCAAGGAACGTAATGAAAACAGAGGGGGGTATGAACCTGGGAGAGATACCATGACCCTAGCCGTGACATCCACCCCTCCTAGTCCTCACCCCCCTCTGGGACGCCCCCGAACTCTGCCGAACAGCCTTGTCGAAATAGAACCGGTTCTCCACCCCGATGCTGCGCTGGCTGCCCTGCGCCCGTCGGAAGGGGGCTAGATGGTGGGCAGGGGGGGGGAGAAACAACGAACTGACAGGTTGAACAGGCGTATGAGTCGTAATGAGGGCGATGTGGAGGCGAAGGCATTATCATCATCATCACCATCATCATCATCATCAGAATCATCATCATCACCATCATCATCATCATCACCATCATCAGCAGCATCATAATCAACAGTAACATCAGTATCATCCGTATCATCATCAACATCATCACCAATACCATCACCATCATCACCATCGCCATCGCCATCACCATCACCATCATCAGCATCAGCACCGGCATCCGCATCGGCATCAGCATCAACATCAGCATCAGCATCAGCATCGTCATCATCATCGTCCTCATCATCAACACCATGATAATCACCATCACCACACATCATCATAACCATCGTCGTCATCATCCTGCTCTTCCTCCTCATCATGATGCTTTTCACCCTCGTCATCATCATCATCATCATCATCATCATCATCATCATCATCATCATCATCATCATCATCACTACCATCGTCATCATCAGCATCATCATCACCAACGCCAGTATCATCATCAACATCATCATCATCATCGGAAGGACGGCCGTGGCCTCTGGAGTCTGGCTTGTCTGGGAAGCTCGCAGCGAGAGACACATACACACACGAGGAGACATGGAGGACGGGGAGAACTGAGAGGGGGACGAAGACGGGGGGAGGAAGATGATGGGGGGACAAGAAACATGACGACAACGAGGAATACTGAGGACGAGACGGAGGACGAGGAGGGGACAGGAGGAAGGAGTGCATAACGAGGACTCGGATCTTGGAGCGGATGCAGAGGGGCAGGGGAGGCTGGCGGAGGAGAAGGGTGGGAGCCAAGATGAGAAACACACGGGGAGCACGAGGTGGAAGCAGAGGATGAGGGCCAGCGACCAGAAAGAACTTGATACCGGCGCTGAAGGTGATGCACTGGGGGAGGGAGGACTGGACCGAACGGGGGATCGATAAACGCGGGACCGAACTGCCCAACGGACGAAACCGAATCGGACAGGAACGGGAACCGCCGATGGTGTTCATTGGGCCCGTAGCTCGGGAAAAACAAAATTAACGCTGGCGGGAGGGCAGCGGATGACGATGACAGCGTAGATGGCGGGGAAGGTAACCAAGGGAGCAGGAGGACAGCACGGAGGAAGACAAACACAAGGACGAGGAGGCAGAAGGAGGACGATCACAAGAAAGGACGGAGCGGTGAAGGAGGAGAGTAATGAATGCAATGAACAAGACGTCGAAGAGGGGGGATGGGTCCTCGTAATCTGTTGGGGCTGCCCTGGAGGCTATTAGGGCCGTCTGGGGCTATCCTCGCGCATCTTGGGGGCATTTTGGGGGCCTTTCCTGGTCTTCTTGGGGGCTTCGGGAATCTTCTTGGGCTGTCTGGTCGCGTCTGAAGGTTCTGTAAGGGCTCTCTAGGCCGTTTTGGCGCCACCTTGGGCTGTCTCGGGGCTCTCTTGGACCGCCTTGGGGCCTCCTGGGGCGATCTTGGGAGCATCTTGGGTTCCTCTGGGGGGGCGCGGTTGCTCTTCTGGGCCATTCAAAATGCTACCAAGAGGACCGTCGAATGAGGAGAGGCCTTCCGAGCCTTCTGAGAAGGCGCGCCCATTCTCACTATTCCCCCACATTCGCCGCCGAGAAGTCGTGGCGTCGGAGTGCGATAAATCTAATCCACCTCCCTCGTGCACGCCAGCCCCGACGCTGCAACAAGCGTCGCCATCGCACTCGGAAGTTCTGGGGCCCCCGTTCGGGTCTCCCCGTAGTCGCTGCGAGGAGCGTTCCACATGACAACCCCTTCTCCGCGGATGTTTTTGCTGCGTTACACCGTCATCCCTGAACAAACACTAATGAGGGGCCCTGGGGCACACACTCACACATAAATAGACACAACTAGCAGGATCCCCAATGTTTTCCCATAGTGTTTTTGTTTTGCCCCCCCCCCCACTTTCTATGTTTATATATATATATATATATATAAATATGTATTCTGGGGGGGGGGCGGCAGTGAGCTGTGTCTGTGTGCTGTTCCCCTCCTGAAATGAGAGAAGACCCGAAACCAGGGAGGCGAGCCAGAGCCCAGGCGGCCCGACAGGGAAAAATAGCGAGATGGAGAGAGAGAGAGAGAGAGAGATTGAGAGAGAGAGAGGGAGAGAGAGAGAGAGAGAGAGCGAGAGCCAGGGCCGCGCTGCTGCCCCCCGTCGTGGTCCAGCACGTAAAACGAGGAGGCGGAAGAGACGAGAACAACGGAAGCCGCCGCGGTCGAGGATGATGCAGCGGAACATGAGGGGGTGGAGGAGGCAGCTTGCCTTGAAGTGGATAGGGACGATGAGAATGAGGGGAAGGATATTGAGGCAGCTCGTCTTGAAGGATGAAGACTTGTATTTGGACGCGGGTTGACGACTAGCCTCGGCTCCCTGCAAAGCCGACGAACGGCGAGGGCCCGAAAGGCCGAACGGGACGAGGGACGGACCCAAGACCCAGAGGCAGAGCCGACCGAAAGGACCGACCGAACAACAAGGGACCGAAACCGCGAGGGCCACAGCCAGCTAGGCCGGGAGCACTGGCGGCAACCAAACAAGAGATACAAAGAAGGGAAGTTTTGTTCTTCTTCTTTCTCTTGCAGAACATTCCAACTCCTCCAACCAATTACACCCCTAGCACTCCACCCCACCCCGTCTAAGGCATCTACCGCTTCCGACGGTGCTCCCTCCGAGGACCTCCATCGGTCTAGAAATCGGGAGGGCGGGAGCTGTTCGGAGCAAACCTAAACGGGAAGCGCTGGGATGAAGGACCGTGCTGTTCAGACTTGCGATACAACTGCCCATCGGCACGGCGAGGCGCACCTGCACATGCCTTGTCCAGCTCCGCGCGTCAGCGGACAAAAGGGTCTGGAAGACCCCATCGCGTCTCCAACTGACCGCCTGGGCCTCCACCTCATGCACATGTTGCCTCCAAGCCGTCTCGACCGCTCTCATCTTGAGGCGGCGTCGCGCGAAGACTTGAGCGGATGGCGCCTGTCCCCGCCAGGTCGCAAGCTGGGCCTTCAACTCCTGAGCGTACAAGCTCTCGATGTCCGAGCACTCGGGCTTTGGCTGCTTGGTATTGTCGGCTTTCAGGCCGCCCCCTTCACAGCGACCATCGCCAGAAGGAGCTCTCTCGACGCGATCAGCAATAGCATCGCCCGACACTTCATCGCAAAACACGTTTCCAGTGAGCAGACCAGGAGCACGAAGCCCCCGAGGACCACGATGGCGCCAGCCATCCCTCGAGGGCCGCGCAAAAGGCGGCAGTGCAGCGGCGAGGGGTCACGAGAACACCACGGCGCCGCAGGTGCACCTCCATCTCGCGCCGACTGCCGTGGGGATAACGGCCCTCTCAGCAGGGAAGAACGGGGCCGCCTCGGCTCGCAGCGTCATCTCCTCGACGACGGCAGGCGCGAACTCGGGAGCCTCAGCCCGCAGCGTCGACCCCACAACGGCGGCAGGCGCGGGCGCATCGTCCTCGGAAGCGGACCCGACAAGATCAGCACCATGAGGACCAAGACACTGGCGGGCCTCCAACCGCTGCCCACGTTGTGCTCGCCGCAGCTCCTGGGCGTCCGCGGTGGCCGCATCCGCGCCGACCGACGGCGTCGGCGTGCAGCCCGGCGCTTCGGCGGAGCACGTCTGCCCACTCTGGCACCCGCCCGTCCAGGTTGGCCTGCAGTGCTGGCAGCAGCGCCGGGACTCGCGGTGCCGCCTCGCTGCCGCCTACCAGAACGGACAGAGTCTCCTCGGCCACCCCGAGGCGCGCCTCAGTCAGGAGGAAAAGAAACACACAGACGCAATTACTCCCCGATTCCCCAGAAAATATTGGAAAACTTGGGAAGTGGGGGGGAAGACAAAAACACAGAAAATATGGGAAACTATGGGGAATCTTTTTATTTGTGTGTATTTTTTTGTGTGTCCTGGGGCCCCTTCACTCAGCTTGCACCAGCTGCTCGGCGAGGCGCTGCACGAACCGGTCCGCAGCAGCGCGGGCGCCCGCAGCGCCACGCCGCGCGCGACCGGCCGCCGCACCGATCCTCCGATGAGGCAGCGGCGTCCCGAGCCATCCATGCCTTGCGCCCCCCGCCGGTTGAGCCAACGGCTATGGGGCCTTG